TAATGCTTTCTTGTTCTCGTATGAATATTTCAAATGTGCTCAATGTACCGATAATATGAATTTTCCGAAAGTACTGATTGCAAAAAAACATCTTAAACTATCTATACTATTATGATAAAGCGTAAACACACACTTCTTTGAAGCCTCTGATGTCAACAATTACAGCATGTTTTTGAATAACTTTGATTTTAATAAAGAGTTCTACACTTACGTCACGCTCTATGCTATATATTTTCACGATGTTAAACTAAGGGGGTAAATATTTTGTTTAAAAAGCCCAATGTGGGAAAGAGACCATAAGTTGTTGCCAACATCAAGGAAGTAGGTTGCCATGATTTGTCAGCATGTCATGTCATTTTGACAATTGCAATTGATAATTTGACACATGTAAACAATAAAATAAAGTTTTCATAATTTTATGCAGATGAAGTCGCACGGGAACAGCTAGTTTTTAATATAATCGTTACCTACTTTTGTGTAATCATCATCATCATCAGCCTTTCTTTGCCCACTGCTGGGCATAGGCCTTTTGTGTAATGCTTTCGGATAATTTTCGCAAATAGTTAACCTGATTTGTCTCTATGAAGGATTAGTAAATTATGTACTGCACTTCCATAAATCTCTATCAGCCGTCGGTCATACATTCGGTCTTCCTCTTTCTTTACATGGCTGCACATTCAACCATTATACTATCTTTTATACTACGCTAACCTCTAATCGCAATCCCATATTTTTATCATGCAAGACATTTGTTGTTCCCGGTATTATAAGATAATTTTTGTAGACAGTACAAACTACATGAAGGGGAATTTGAAGAAGTCTTTTCGTTTGTTGTTTCAGAATGTAAAATATTCCATACCTTTTTTGCTAACGGTACCTCTCGCTGTCGAGTGTCCCTCCCGATAAGAAATGCACACATTAGAACTTCAGGTCTGAGAGCAACGAGAGCTGCAGTATTCAGAAAGGTCACAGTATTTATATTACTATTGTCTAACAATTCCCCCATACTATTTTTTAATCAAATATTGTTTAATTGATTTCATTATGATAAAATGTATTGCAAACTCTCTTGAGCCTTAACTTCGATAAAAATAAAACATATTTTAATTTTAAACTAGCTGTTGACCGCGACTTCGTCCACGTAATATAAAGATAAAAAGTAACCTATAATATGTCCGTCCATGTCAGCTACGCTTCAAATTCCGTTCGAAATCGGCTCAGCTGTTCCGGAGATAACTTGGAACAAACATGGCTTGCGGACAGACAGACAGACAGACAAAATTTGAATGCGATTTTCGTTATCAGCAACTTACATACATCATCTTCACTAAATCTGGAATTTTTCCATTGACATTACAGACACTCCAATTTTATTACATGTATTAAAGATATATTTTACCGCATTTACTTAATTATATCTGTGCCAAATTTTATCAAGATATATTTTGGTGATACGAAGTAAGAAACACACACTCAAACTTTCGAATTTATATTATTAATATAAATTATGATTGTGATTGTCTTAGAAGTAAAACATTATTTAATGTAACGTGTCTTCCAACTGATTCGTAGAATTGTAAAATCTTTGAACTAAACTTTTATCGAATAAATTCACTCCGATGAATATTTTAATCCGCGCAAAGCACATTCATATATCCGCAGGACTCAGACGGAGTTCGAAGCGCCACAGACTGTATTAAATCTAATAATGGTACTGAGAAAAATTCACCGAGACATGCGGTAACAGAAATTAAACATAATGAAAGCAAATGACGCGAGTTTCTAGAATAAGGGTTCCCACCCCAGACGGAGTCTCGCGATTCTCTGATTTGGTTTAGTTTGTATTGGAAAATGTATGCTTATTGTAATAACTACAGTTAACGTATAAAAATTCCAAACTTTTATTTGAAACTGTGATTCCTTTCATACAAGATAATAATAGTAATACTATCATAGTAATCATACTATGATTTTACGAATACTATAAGTGCGAAAGTTTAGATGGATGGATGGATGTTTGTGAGCATTTGTAGCCTAAACGGCTAAAAGAATTTAGGTGAAATTTGGAATAGATGCAGAGGATAGTCTGTATGCTTGGGATGTCCGCCATGTCTGGGATGACACCATGCACAAGTAAACAGTATGGCCATACACTACAGTCTGAAAGAGCACAAAGGCTACTCACTTTAGTTTTTTTTAATTCCATGCGGATTCGCGTGCTAAAGCTAGTATATAAAGAAATGACGTATGAGTAGATATTATCATTATCCTAATTACTAATCTTACTAACATTATAAACCGAAAATTTAGATGCATAGATATGTATGTGTTTGTCAGAAGGCTAAACGATTTAACGGATTTTGCTCAAAATTTGGTATAGAAGTAGAACATAGTCTGAAAAGAACACATAGGCTACTTACAATTTTTTTTAGAATTGTTTTTTTTTAACCTCGCCCGATTTTTCAAAGTCACCGGCTAAAGCTTGTAACATTTACCTTAAGCAAAAAGAATGTTGATTTTTATGTTCAGCTTCCTTCAACAATAATAATATTCCGACTAGCGCTAACAAAGAGTTTCTTGAGCGAGCAATAAGGTCGGATGTCAAGCCAGTAGTCTGTAATTATATAAAACTGTGTTGAAAGACGTCGAAACCGTGAATCTGGAGAGCCAACATGTTCACGATTTCTATTAAACTTGTACAAAGTTAATATTTGCAACTAACATTGTCTTATTGTTAGGAGAATAAAGTTCATTTTAATAAGTAAATAATGTAAGTAACAAGAAACGTGTGGGTTCAACTTATTCGAACAAAATTACTGTAGACAATTGTGTTTCACTCATGAAAGGTCTTATTCCAGACAGTTTGTGTCAAGAAGGATGTTTTTTTTTTAAATTTTAGGTGTAATCTGGGAAAAAATTCTGTCAATTAGTTTTATTTTAACTATGTTATTCTATTTTATTATCAACTAGTTGTTGCCCGCGATGACACGCAATATTAAGATAAAAAGTAGCCTATAATATATATAAAAGTAGTCTATGTCAGCTACCCTTCAGTCTAGCCGTTTCGGAGATTACCCGGAACAAATGCAGCTTGCAGACAGACACACAATTTTTTTAAATGCTATTTTAGTTATCAGCAACGCAAATACTTGAAATTTCCGAAATCTGGATTTTTTTTAATGTTACAGACACTCCAATTTTATTATATGTATAAATAGAAGAACAAGGAATGATTTGTATATAGTTTAGAACTCTATTTACAATAGTTTAGAGTTTAATTCCCTACCTCTACTATGTGTTTTGTACTAATATACCGCAATAACACTCCAGGGTAAAAGACGAATCGATTGACACCTCAACCTTCAAAATCGGTTCACTAGTTTAGGCTCTGGACAGTTACAAATAATTCACAAACTTGTTGTTACCAGGTAAGTACTGAGGCAATAATATAACTATAAACTCATATCTAGTATTACTTAATAATTGATATATGAATAAGAGGCTATGACAAGAAAGTAACTCTAAATTAATTCCTCTAAACGCTCTCTAGCATGTCGAAGTGATGACAATAGTTTTGATATACCACTCTAATATGGGAAACATCCGCTACTTAAGTAAAACTCAAACGACGTTGTAATGTCGCTTTAATTTGTTCAGACGTGTGTAATTCTCACGTATCATTGCTTGATCATCAACAAGAGGCAAATTGCATATAAACTACTGGGATTTCTATTGTTTCTGGACGAATTTACACAAAACACGTTGATGGACAAAAAATAATCATTTAATGACGGAATTACCTATGGCGCTAGTGTAGTCAGAGGTACTGAAACCGACCAATTTGTAAATCATACTTTAATATTATAAATGCGAAAGTTTAGATGGATGATTGTTAGAGTTTGTAGCTTAAACGGCTGAACGGATCTCGATGCAATTTGGTATAGATGTAGAGGATAGACTGGAAGAACACATAGGCTACTCATTTTTGTTTTTTTTTAAATTCCACGCGGACGGAGTCACAACCGAAAGCTAGTCTTGTATACATTGGAGTCGTATTGATTTGAGTACGTTTTTATAAAAATATACTTAAAAAAAATGAGTAAAAAACAACAACGTTAACATATTTAAAAATCACTTGTTATTTGTTAGTAACCGTTAGTTTAGAACACTATAGATTATACGTTTTATAATTGCTAATAATTCATTTTATGTTACACTCTGGTGAGTGTAACATAAAATGGTTTCAATTAAAAGAACTAAATCATGGAAAGTTTACAATTACATATCAACGCCATCTAGATTTCAAGCGGGAAACTACTAAACCAATGATACCTATTCTGTGCTTGATCTCAAATTTCGACGTAATAGTTTTCATTATACAAACTAGATGTCACTGTAACCAATTTCTCTCTGTAGACATAATTCGAAACGTTTCATCGAGTGCATATATTTTTCACTATTTCACATTTAAACAAGTCTATGGAAACAAAGATAGAAACTAATATACTTATTAGATACATTCATTTCGCTTTTATTGTTATTAAAAAATAAAAATAGTAATTTAACAAAATAACCTAATAATAAAATAACTAGGAATAAAATATGCAATTAGTTCCCTTGTGTTAAATAAACAGAAGTTAAGCTGCTATCTGGACATTTAGCGATAATGTCTTTGTAACTAATGAATGAAAATTGTATTACATCCATTAATAAAAAAATACTCTGTTAGTACATTAACGATATATCATTGACCTTCAACGTATCAGTACTTCAATATTATCTCGATAAAAGCTTTCTGTATAATGGACTACCGTACATGTGAGCTTATCTGAAGAGCTTTTACGAAAATATTCATTTTGAACTATCAAATACAACGCAAATCCTACACTTGCACGTTCAGTGTGCAAGGACATTAGGGTAGCAAAAAAGATTTGAATTTTTAGGACTAATAGTTGCAGTTAAAACTGTTTCATGTTTAAGCTAAAGGTAGTTTTAATGCTATGGATAACGATAGTGACTTGAATGAAATATTTTTAAGATATGGAACTAATTGGACGGCTGATTACTTAGACGATGTGAGTACAGATTCCTATTTATTCTTTTACTAGCTTTCGCTCGCGACTCCGTCGGCGTGGTAAAAAAAACAAAAGAAAGTAGCCTATGTGTTCTTCTAGACTATCCTCTACATCTATACCAAATTTTATCGAGATTCCTTCAGCCGTTTAGGCTACAAACTCTAACAAACACTACCTAAACTTTTGCATTTATAACATTAGTAAAATTATAAGAAATACGCTATAACAATGAACAATACCATAGCTTACTAAATTCAATATTGGACTTCGACAATACGTATCCACTTTTCTGAGTCCTGCACGACTCAATACTCCTGTCTCTTGCAAATGCTCCAAATCTTAAACTATAATCAGCGGAATAAAAAAAATAGTGTACGTTTGTATTAAATGTTTTCAGATTGACACTTCACAGTATCCATTCCCAAATGTACTATGGCATCGGAAATCAACAAGAGAAGTGGCTGTCAAAACAGCTGCAATGCTCGTTATTGGCGTCATGGGCATCTTTCTAAACTCCATAATTCTTTCCATCCTTGTCAAAAACAGATGGCTCTGGACTGCTAGTAATTATCTAGTTGGGAACCTGGCTTTAGTGGACCTGTTGACTTTAATATTATGCCCTTGGTTCATGCTAGTCAGGGACTTTTATCAGCATTTTGTATTAAGGAATTTCGGATGCAAGTTTGAAGGATTTTTACAAGGTTAGTATTGGTTGAAGCTTTTCTTTTTTCATTGTGACAATCTTCTTTATATTTTTATGCTATTTAGATGCTAATGAAGTTATATAACAAACAAACATCACTATTTTTTTTTTCAGCTACTTTTCTCCTAGCTAGTGTTGGGGCTGTAATATTGGTCTCCTATGATAGACTAGCTGCAGCTGCTTTGAATTCCGAAGCAAGAGTCACCAAGGCTGCTGCTCCGAAGCTAATCTTTGCGACTTGGTTTATTTCAATTGCCCTGTCACTACCTTGGAGTATTAGAAGGGAATTCATGGTAAGTACAGTCTTGAAAATTATTCTGTTTAAATTATTGGAGTGTGTATTGAAGAATTTTATTTTCTAGGAAAGGCAATGGCTAGATTACTTGGAGATGTACTGCGCTGAAGACGTCAAAGTGCTAAGTATCTATTGGCATTTCATTACAATTCTTCTAGTCTGGTTGCCTTTGGGATTAATGACAGTAACTGTGAGTAAAAGAGGATGTTTTTCGGAACTTTAAAATGCGAATCCTCTTTCACAATTTTGTACTTTTAAATACCTTTGTGACGTTATTACTTCAGTATGGTACAATTATATGGCGCTTGGAATGGAGTGCTCGGAAACTATCGTCTAACGGTGGAGGTCAGGTAGTGACCAAGGCAAAAGGCAGGGCGATGAAGATCACGGCGTGTGTACTGCTCGCAGCCGCGGTTTGCAGAATACCATACACCGTGTTGGTCTATTGGAGGAACAATTTGACGTTGGAGATTAATGCGGTAACTATGGCAACGAACCTACTAATTGTGTAGCTAAAATATGATTCACAATTGTCTTCATTCTATCTCTTTAGGTCGAAGGTGCATACAACATTATGTGGTTTGTAGCAAACTATTTGATATACGTGAACTGCGCTATAAATCCGCTTATCTACGGTTTCACTAACCTAAGATTCCGAAGGGCTATGGACAGGACTGATGGTGTCGCTTGGTTCAGATTCAGTTCTTGGTGTTGCACGTGCTCTATGGTTAGTAACTCTACGAAGAAACTTATGTTAAAACTTTGTAGAATTGTTGAAACAATGTTGTTAATGATTGAATTGTGAAAGGTGACATGATCAAAAAGGGAGTGGTGACTGAGATGACGTATGACAGAGTTATGTGGAGGACAAAAACCTGTAGCGCTACAACGGGAGTAGAATAAGGATGATAATGATGATACAGAATTGTTGAAACAGAGAGATTTCTAATTGGTTCTATAACCAATTGAAATACAACTTAAAGCCTTATTTATATGCATTTTTTTAGTTCAACTCAAAGAAAGGACCCCCGCTTGATAAAAATATGGCGAAGATTTTCGTAATAGAGAACAGTCCTCGTCCAAATAAGAAGCTAACCCGAGTAATAAAGAACATACTTCACATAAATAGAGATACTGTTGAACTGAGTATGCCGAAAGTTGAAGAGGTTACAACGAAACCGACAAAAATCACACCAATAAAAGTAGACAACATTTAACTTGAAAGGGAAACACAATGTTTTAGGTTGATAATAAATTAAGATACTTTAATAAAATACTGAGTAACTAGTTTACAAATAACTCCATTAAGATGTTTGTATGGTAAGAAAAATTAATCTTTTGAGGACACATTGCATCATAAGAATTAAAACGCTTATGTAATCAATAACACTTTTATTTAAATATCAGGAATGGTTAATATAGATTTAAATTCATATATAAATATGAAAAATACATTATTTTTATAACGTTTCTGTTAATTTCATAGTTTAAAAGTCCATAGATCCTAATTAAAAATTGTTTAACGAAACTCAATGTAATATTAATAGTACTCTTCACATTTTTATTTCACATTCTTCAAACTTTCAGTAAAATGTTAATTTTTTTCAACTTTCCAGGTAAATACTTTAAAAATATATTGTGTTATAACAAAATAAATACATTTTATTAAATTTGTTTTTTATTAGCACGTGTCATTCTGGAAAACTGTTAGCCGCGTCCAACTGATTTGAGAGTTCCTTCACTTTCGCTTCCAAAGTCTCTATCATGTGTGGTTCCACTTTTAAAATATTCATTGCCTCCTGAAGTAATGTCATACTCTGCATTAGCTGATCCTATAAAAAAAAGTTTAATTCAATGACCGTCCATTTCTTTAAATAATTGTTACTTCATTATTTTAGACATTAACATAATTGTAACAGTTTAACTTCAACACTCAAACCACTAATTCTCGCCAGAATGGTACGCTTATTCCTCATATTTCTGAATGACATTGACAGCTGTCATAGGGACGTGACGTGTATGATCTAGTGTTGCGCCGATTTCTTAACAACTGTTAGTTTGTCGATGTCAGAAATCAAATCTAAACTTGCATGGTTATAAATGTAAACTGGGTCGACGTCTTGAAATACAAATTTTACAATCCTAGTCAAGAACGTACCAATTTGGCATCATTTTAATAATGTACATAAACCGTTTTATACCGATTTGAGATTAGTAATATCAGTATTTAATATTGAAATTGAATTATTTTACAGTGGACAGACCTGAGCTCCGGTCTTCGTTAGCTTCTGAGCTTCAAATTCTCTCTTCGTGTGCATCGACATAGCTGCTTGGAGCTCCAAAAGAATCGTGCCACGAAATCTTGTCCATCCAGGTTCCAACTTGTCTGCTAATTCGAGGAGTTCATGACAGATTTCTATTTTACGATTCAATAAATCATTCGACAATTCTGAAAGAAGAGACAAAATATAAACACAATAATCAATACATAAAAAAGCTATAGAAATAAATAAATAATTAAAATAAAATGAAGTACCTGGTAAAGTATATCCTTTATAGTTTCCATAAATTTGCGCCAAAGCTAATTTCGCTTGAACTATCAAATGGTTTGTTGGGTGCAAAGTTAAATTGTATTTCTCTACAAACTCCTCTAGTTCCTGTGGTCCAGTTTTATTGAGTTTATTTAAATCTTGTTTCAATGCATTGTTTCCCCAAAACATTTGTCGGCTTTGAATATAATGGTCACATTTCTCGCATTTCCACGGTGCGGTATCATCAAAAGTATTCGTTGATACAAGCATTGCTCCAGAAAGACCGCTTTCATTAAAAGGTCCATTGCAAAGTGAACAGTATATGTTACCTAAATAAGTGCCAAATTCAGTTGGATCTGCACACCTTTCGCACTCACAATCAAAACATTTAGTCTGTTTTATATGTTTTCTTCTATCTAGAGTCCCCCAAAGAGATTGTGTGTATGTAGCTGTAATGAGTTCACCTTTAGCTATGGGTACAGTCGCTAAAAGCACCATACTGTAATCGTTACCATGAAAAATATGACGGGTATTAGGTCTGCAGTTATGGTTCATCATCGAAGCTGTGACATAAATCGCTCTAAATCTTTTAGTCCCGTCGGGAGATCTTACATCAAATGAGTTTGTATCAAAAATGGATGCTACTTGTAAAATTGTCTCATCGTTGAAAGGCAATCCAATAACATTCTTAATAAAAGCCACTAGATTACTTTTTAACACATTGTACAATTGAGTATGGATACGTTTATCCAGATGGGATTCCAGATTCATTATACTATCAAATTGTTTAGGATTTGATTCTTTCATTAACAATACTCTTAGTGGTGCTATCACACAATATGCTGCTTCTGTCTTATCCTTGTTTTCATATTTTATACTACACTTATATCCTTTACTTATCATAGTCTTACATTCATTTTTATGAACATCATCTTTAGCACATTCTGGGCCACACATTGGCCAATTGCATAGTGGACATTTATAATAATCTAAGTTTTCTTCTATCATAGTTGGTTGCAGTTTCTTTCCACAAGATAAACAATGTGCTGTACTGGCCATTCTAGGCCCGACCACCGCTGGCTTCTCTTTGAGTATAGTTTCTCCCTGCTTGATATCTCTGGTGGCTATCATATGTCTGCCTAAAGCGGGAGTGAATTGAATTTTGAATGGGCAGCATCTTGTCTTGTGTCCATCCTTCCATCCTTGCTTCTGGTGTGACCTGGAGCAGTAATAGACTTGTTTGCACCCACCGCAGGTCTGGTTAGCTGGTTGTTGGCAGACATCGCAAGCTGGTATTTCCCGTTTAGAGTCCATTCTTGTTTCTTTTGCGGCTGTCACTCGGATACGCTAGGCACGCCTGATCCGGCCCGGCTCCAACACAATACTCGTCCAAAATAGACACATATAATTATCTCTACGCAACTAAACATTTGGGAGATGTGCCAACAAAATGAAAAACTGCGAACCACGGCTCTTTTGTAATAACAAATTTTAATGTGTTCTCGGGCGTACGGATTACTGGTTTTAACATCGTTAGGTAAATTCAAATTGTCCTGAGGAATTTAAAAGTGTACAAATTGAAATGCAATACCGTCGTTAAACTGTTTAAATAAAAAACGTAATGAAATGTCCCACGCGACAGCTGCTTTCCTTTAAAAATATGTTTGTTACATGTTGTATATTACTTGTCTGGCAGTCTCAATGAATTTTGTTAGATATCGTTTGTAACTAACGTCAGCTTCAGAGAACATGATTATTTGTATTCTAGTTAATAGAAAGAAAAGTGAATTGAAGTCAAGTCTGAACAACAAAAATCTACAAGGGATTCAAACTATTCGATCAATTCATCATCAACAACTTGCTGCAATTGAGGGTCGGCAGAGTATGTGCTGCGCTTGCATATATTTCTATCAGCTGTCATATCTGAATCCTCTAAGCATATCCTCTTTTACACAATTCATCTATTCTTTCTTCGGTCTTCACTGTACTTTGTTTCGTACTTGGATTAATTGAATTTAAGAATATGTCCTATTAATTAATATCCTTCTGCATTTTAATATCAAGAAATATCTAAATCAATCTCTCCAGACTGACATATTTACAAATATATGCATATATTTATGCGGACAGATTTATAGCAATTACGTAAGGCAGACTCAAGCACCCAGTCGTGAAGACTCGGTCGGTTGGTACGGCCATACGTTCATAATAATTGTTGAAAAACCACGTGTGGAGGAAATTAAAAGTGTATGTGTGTGTTATTAAAATTAAAAAAGTGCGTTCTAATTTTGAAATTATAAGTTCAAAAAGGTAGGTCACTAATATATTTTTTTTATTTTTTTTGTCGTTTTTAAAGCTTTACTTGAAAAGTTTTATTTAATTACTTAGTTGTTTTTTTGGTTATAGTATAAAAAATTCAATAAAAAAAAATCCATTCTTAAATTGCTCTCATTTCGTAAGGGACAGGCCAAGATGATGATGAACGAAACATTAATGAGTCAAGAAAAATGTTTTCTATTTATTAAAATACACTATATAAAAGAAAATTATATTAACTATATTAACATGAAAAATCCGTAGATAATATTAGTGTTTGAATTATAGACACGGTTAAGATTATTTGTGTTAAGTGTACGAGAATAGACCGCCGTATCCCACTAACCGATTTCAGAGTAAATGTTTTAGTTATGCAAAATATAAATACTACTTCTTACTAGAATTATAACTGTGAAAGTATAGATGTATGGATAGTTTGTTAGAGTTTGTAGCCTAAACTGCTGAATGGATCTCGATGAAATTTGAAACAGATGGATAGTATAGTGCAGAAGAACTAATTTAATTCTACGCGGATGAAGTCGCGGGTATAAGCTAGTTGGAGATATACGAGTATTTAAACAAGTTTAAATTACTTACCATATAAAATACAGCCACAGAATATTTGTGTTTTTTAATTTTGCATTTGCTTTTATCTTACAATTTTTCTACAGAACTGATACCCTATGAGCCTAGTAAAAATCTATTTCAAAATTATAAATTTAATTCAGTTGAACTAAAAGTTTACAAGAATTATTATAATCGATTTTACGTATGTAAGTAAACGTATACGGAGAAATCAATAATAATAATGTAATTAAATTTCATTTCAGAATCATGGGACAAAACGACACAACTACTACACCGTACAAGGTAACTTTAGAAATATCGCCATCTAGCGGAATTTTATTACATTAAATTTCATGATCAACTCTTTGGCATGGAAAAGTGCGTTTTTGTAATTTATCAATAGATGGCAGAACAATAGGTTTTTATTCGTAACTTTTAATTTGGTACCCTGAAGGATTAACATCTAATAATGATATTTTATAAGTTCGACTTGAAAGGTTTAATTGTTAAAATTTTTTGACATTCCAGGTGGAGAGTTCTGATGAACTTGGCCGGTATTTGGTCGTTATTAGAGACCTAAAGCCTGGAGACCTAGTCCTGATGGAAAAGCCGCTGGTCTTCGCTCCAAAAGCAATGCCAGACCCTGAAGCACAAATGCCGTGTGTTGGCTGTTACAAGCCTGTGTTCACAGACGTCGGAGAAAGATGTGCTAAGTAAGGTTTCATTCTTTTTTTTATTTAAAAGAACTCAGAAACGATTGAAAATAACATTTCCATTCTGGTTGTAGACATAAAAAATATTTTTAATTTTTGCCAATAACTCTAAACACAGCAGTTCGAAGTAATATCTAATTGTATAAGTTGTGGTGAAGATCCTTGTCTATTTTAGATGCGGGTGGCCAGTGTGCAGCGGTAACTGTCCAGGTTTAGTTGACCCTCGACATCACGGGGTGGAGTGTGCTGTACTTAGTACACGCCCTGAGTGTGTACTTGATAATATGGCCGATTATTACAGGTAAGTTATTTGCACGGTCCTACTTATATCATTTATGCTATGTTATTTTGATACAAGATTTTTTTCGTTATGTTTCAGACACGATGCTTTACTTACCTTGAGATGTGTTCTTTTACAAAACACTGATCCTGAGAAATGGAAGAGCATATTGGATATGCAATCACACATGGAGTGCAGGGAGCCTGGAACTGAGGCTTACGAGTAGGTGGTATTAATATTTTTTTGCGAACCTTACAAGTACTGTAAGAAAAAAAAACTAAAACAAATTGTAGTGCTGACGTTAAACGGATTACATCGATGACGTTGCTTCAAGCTAAAGATGATGTCTACATTAAAAAGTTAATGTAGCCAAAATAAATCCAGGTTTTAATTAATGTTTGTTTCCTTGCGAATATGTAGGCTAGCAGATCGCCATAATTAAGGCTAATGACTTGATATATTAATAAGTATACAATTATTTATACTTCTATACATACACACTTCTTTGTTGCCTTTACTTACGTCACGTTTTAGGCTATATATTTTCACTCTATTACACTTAGGGGGTATATAAATTGGAAAAAACCTTTTTGTCGGAAAGGGACCATAAACTACAAGCTGCCAACATTAAGGAAGCAAGGATAACCTCAAATTTTCAATTGCAAATTTGACAATTGTAAATAATGAAATAAAGTTTTTATAATTTCATGCGGATGAAGCTGCACGGGAACAGCTAGTTGACATATAATATGGTTAATAGTACTTGTTACATTCTTTAAGTTTGTCATAGTAATGGATAATTTTTTTTATTTTCAGAGAAGCTAATGAATTTATCGTTGAATATCTACTTGAAAATTTTATTAATAAACTCGATAAAAATATCAAAGATAAATATTTACCAGATATTTCTAAGGAATTATTACATAGAATCTGTGGCATTATCGATACGAACGCTTTAGAAATACGACTACCTGAGGGCGCAGAATTGCAAGCATTATATGCCAATACTTGCATTTTAGAGCATAGCTGTTTACCGAACACAAAACATACATTTAACCAGTCAAGTGCGGACAAAAATGATTTATATAGAATTACAGTTAAAGTCGTAATTCCTATAATGAAAGGAGAACATATCACGACTATGTATAGCCATGCGTTATGGGGAACGGAGGCGAGAAGACAACATTTGAAAGACACGAAGTACTTCTCTTGCAAATGTCCAAGATGCAGTGATCCTACTGAACTGGGTACATATTTGAGTGCTATGAAATGTTTCGGTGATGGTAATAAGTCTTGTGATGGAATACATCTACCAGAAGATCCATTAGATGACGACACAGAATGGGCTTGTAGTGAATGTCCAGTCAAAGTTAACAATTCACAGATAAATATGCTGATATCTCAAATGGGCGAAGAAGTCGATGGTGTGCTAATGATGGGTGGTTCAGTATCGATGTTAGAGAATCTCCTTTGTAGATTGTCAACTTTCTTACATCCTAATCATTATCATTTGTATTCTATAAAACATTCTTTAGTCCAGCTCTATGGTAGACAACCAAGTTATATGTCGGAAGAAATTTTAGATAAAAAAATCAAAATGTGCAAAGATCTTATTGATATTACCACTACTCTAGATCCAGGTAACGCTAGATTGAGTTTGTATAGTTCGGTATTGCAACATGAATTACACTCTGCTTTAAGTCTAAAAGCGAAGAAGGTTAAAAGTGATGGTAGTCTCAAAACTGCTGATGAAATTAAACCTTTACTCGTTGAAGCAAAAATATGTATTGAACGTGCTTTAGAAGTATTAAAAGATGATATGGAAGAAACTTCTGGTAGGAAACTGTATGACGTAATAGAAGAAAGTAAAAAGGATTTTGAAAAATACTGTAAAGAAAAAGGCCTTTCATTGTAAAATGTTAAAAACAATTTATTAAAATAAATGATTACCTACAGTTTATACAATCTGCTTGTGTTTTTATCCTTTTGACGATAAAAACTTACATTTATTCATATCACAGTTAAATCTTTGATCATAATTTATGTTAAACCTACGCAACAATTATTAATAACAGTAAACCTAAATACCAAACTAAATAAATACTCTTTCATTGTCTATATTATCTCTTCATCCCCTTCTTGAGAATAAACTGAAGATAGATCTTGAATTATCATTGTTGACATTTTCTACAATCCAATCTGTATATCTGGACACTCTTGTGTAAATGCCAGGCATCCTAGCTCGAGCACAGCCACTGCCAGTGGAAACAACACCGACCACCATAGAATGACCTTTGTTGCCACGCACCATTAGCGGGCCACCACTGTCAGCCTGTAAACCATTAACATTTTCTTTAAGTATTTGTAATATTGATATTGTCTTATATTAATTCTTCGTAGATTACTAACAACTAACGAAATAAAATCATTATTCATCTGACATCAAAACGCATAAAATTGTCTCTGCATCGCATTTCAAGTGTATTGTCTTTTTCTCTCTAAACCATCTCCCCTACCTTATCCTACTACCATAGGGTTGGCGCACTGGGTTTTCGTTCTTGAAATAACTATTTTCCGTCACCTCAGTCGTCACTCCCTTCTTGATCATGTCACCTTTCACGCAAACCATCCATCTCATTCTAGGTCTACCTCTACCGGTGTACCTCCACACTCATAACAAACGTCCTTCTTTTTCTCTAAAGGTTGTCCCAATTCAATTTATGATGACAGGGTTTCTAATAAATGTTTTTGAGGCCTCAAGATTGAAGACCAACTCCACGTTTTATTTCAGTTACTCAAAAAGCAGTTTTAGGTCTTACCCAGCAGGAGTCCCTGCCTCCTTGTTCGTGTCCTGCACACATCTGAGTCGATATGATCTTGATCTTGCTGCCTTGTGACTCATACCAATTGTTACATTCATCGTTGGTAACAACAAACACATCAGTCTTCTGTAGAACATTAGGTCTTGATCCTGGAAAAGAAAACATTTAACTACAACAAGTATCGATTTCAAAACTATACTTCTATACTAATATTACAAAGAGGAAAGAATTGCAATTTTTGGATTTTTATATGTATTCGATTGACGTAAAAACTACTGGACAGATTTTAAATATTCTATCATCGTTAGAAAGGTTTTATATCTGAGTCACGTAGACTATACTATATAGCTAGACTAAAATATGAATGAACTAATCAAATAAACATTTTTTTATGTATTTGAAACAATTTAACATAGGGTAACTTTGACTATCTTGATTCTATCGACATTAACTATACCACTCTATTCTGTTAAACGATTAAATTAACTATCGTTGTTGAGCGTTACAATATCTTTTGCTTATCAATATTAGAAGTATATTGTTAATTGATTACATAAAACAATCTTAAAATTTGTTCGCTGTATAGCAATTTCATTTCAAATTGCAATCAAGTTCTTAAACCAGTTGACTTGATATGCGAAATTCTTAAAAAATCTGAATGAAATTAAATTCCAACTAATCGCTATCTTCAAGTCATACTTCAGTAATCGTACCTATACCCCTATCTTCATTAGTAAAGCCCCATCCTGCTACCACCGCTGATGTTCCACTGAAGTCGGATGAAGTGGCTTGTGGCAAGCACGCAGGTCTGAGATCGCTGTTCCAAATCAATTGTCTGAGCGTCTTTAGAAGTGCTACATCGTTGGATTTTCGATTACATCTGAGACAAAAAATTAATAAAAAGATTAATATCTGATTTAAATTGTACTACTTTTTATATAAGATAAGGGGTAAATGTGCTGCGGGAACACAAAGGTGGTCAAAGACGCCCATTTGCAACACTAGAGGAACTACAGATGCGTCGCCGGCCTTGGAGGAAATCATAGGCTAGCGTCTTGAAGGACCCTAAGTCATATTGATTCGGAAATACTGTCGAGGACAGAGCGTTCCGCAACTCGGCTGTGCGAGGCAGGAAGTTCCACGAAAACCACACTGTTAAATGCCAGCCATTGACATGATGAGGATGCTAAGATTTCATTCTAAGTTCTAGGCTTGTGGATTATGACTACGTGATCGAAGCTTTGCACCGTTAACCTTATGGACGCTTCTTCTCTATACAAAGTTCCATATTTATTGCAATACTTACCTGTATTCGGGGTGAGGTATAATTCTTGACAGCGGTTGGTTAACATCCTCGTAGGAGATATCATTGTATCCAGCGACGACTGTCAGCTGTTTTGACTTGTAGAACTCATCGAATACACTGAAGTAGACATTTTGAATTATTGATAAGAACATTGTTTATGAAAGTTGTTAGATAAATTGTAGTTCATCTACTAAGCGGGCGCACACTCTTGACTAGACTATCGCACTGTTGTGCGATTGTCGATTGTTCCGCAGACAATTCTATTGTTTAGTTGCATAACTAAAAATCGAGGAATCAAAGCAAGACACAGTTGTGCGATAGATTAGTTTCAAGTGTCCGCTCGCTCTAAGCATTACGTAATCGATTAGAAATTTGATTAAGTAGCGAGTTTCAGTTGGGTTTTTTCTTTAAAATTTAGTAATTATAAATTTATTAAAAACCTCAAAAACTACTTGGCCGATTTTTATCATTCTTTCACCATTAGAAAGGTAATTTATCTGTGAATAATATGCAATGTAATTAGGTTTGTGTCCTTGAGCACATACGAGTACGCACATACGTGTGATTAATAATTTATTCCCAAAAACGCATAATCAAATGTTACTTCCGAGATTTTTTTTAAACATTAAATAAGTAAACTATTGCTTCATTTGAAACATTATTTTTTACAAAGAAAACATAATTCTCCTCCATTTTAAAGTACCTAAAACTGACAGGTTATTAATTTTAA